ACATTCCATAGACACCGGGGATGCCAAGCCGGTGAAACAGCGGTTGAGACGCACACCTCTCGGTTTCGCAGAAGAAGAGGAGGAACATCTCAAAAAGATGCTGAAGGGAGGCGTCATCCAGCCTTCAAGTTCGGAGTGGGCCTCGGCGCCAGTGTTAATCCGCAAGAAATGTGGAGGTGTGCGCTGGTGCATTGATTTTCGCGCGCTTAATGCCCGGACTCGGAAAGACGTCTTCCCTCTGCCCTTGATCGATGAGTGCCTCGACACATTAGCAAACAGCACTTGGTTTTCAAAATTGGATGCCAACTCTGCCTACTGGCAAGTCAGGATTAAAGAGGAAGACAGGAGGAAAACCGCATTTGTCACGAAATACGGTCTCTATGAGCACATAAGAATGGGTTTCGGATTGTGCAACGCTCCAGCCACCTACGCCCGGGTGATGTCACCTATACTTGGAGGGTTGAGTTGGGACATAGTCCTAGCATTCTTAGATGACGCAGTGGTAAATGGCATTACCATCCCTCAGCACTTTGAGAATCTACGGACGGTTTTGAGACGATTCCGAGAATACCGCCTGAAACTGAAGCCCAAGAAGTGCGAACTCTTCCAGCAGAAAATAGAGTTTCTAGGGAGAACCGTCAGTCGTGATGGAGTGGAGGTGAACAACGCTAGTCTTGGAGTGGTCGCTGAATGGCCAGCCCCTAAGACAACAAAGGAAACAGAAAGCTTCCTGGGATTCGCGAACTATCACAGAAACTTTATCAAGGATTATGCCAAGCTAGCAGCCCCACTGTATTCAATCACCGGGAAGAAGCCCTTCAACTGGGGACCAGATCAGGAGATTAGCTTTGAAACCCTCAAACAGGCTCTGTTGCCTACACCCGTGCTCGGGTTACCAAACAAAACAGACCCCTTCCTGCTCGATACTGACGCCTCTGACCTGGCTATTGGGGCGGAATTGATTCAAGTTCAGCACGGAGAGGAGAGAGTCATGAGTTATGGCAGTTTCGCACTGACCCCTGAACAACGACGTTATTGCACAACACGCAAGGAGTTGCTTGCAGTGATCCGCTTCACAAGGCAATACCGCCATTACCTTCTAGGTCGCCCTTTCACTGTCCGCACAGACCACAACAGTCTTCGTTGGCTCCTAAATTTCAAATCTCCAGAAGGACAGATTGCCAGGTGGCTGGAGGAACTTGGACAGTATGATATGGTTGTGGAACATCGCCCAGGGGCAAAGCACCAAAATGCGGATGGGTTGTCCAGGATCCCGTGGGACAATGACTGTGACAGCTTTCAAAGATGGGTGGCTCTTGAAGATCTGCCATGTGGAGGATGCAAGTATTGCACAAGAGCACAGGAAAACTGGGGTCAGTTCTATGAGGAGGTGGACTATGCCATACCGCTATCAAGACGACCAAAGGTGGCTAGGGCAACCAAGAGCCTAGTTAGACAGACAGAGGAGGTTAGCGGTTGTTTCACAGATGACTTGCTTAGGGAGCTGATGAGGAGGACCCACTGTGACTCCCTTGATGAACCCTGTGTTAGGTCCATATCGCTGGACGCCAGCTCCCCAGAGGTGGAGATTGTGCTACGCCGGGCAACCTCAGATGAGAAAAACCCAGATGATCTCCCGGAAGCTCAGGCCTTTGGGTATTCCATTGAGCAGATACAGGTGGCGCAAGACAAAGATGCAAATTTGGAGATACTGTTGAACTGGGTAGACAAAAAGGAAGTACCCTCTGACCAAGAACTTTTTCTGGCAGGTCCAGCAGCCAAATCATATTACCTGAACAAAGAACTGTTCTACCGAGACTCCCGAGGGGGGCTAGTGAAAAAGAACACCAGAACTGAGAATCTCCCAGCAAGAGTACTGATACCAACAGCACTTCAGAGTGAGGTCTTACAGTACCTGCATGATATTCCCACGTCAGGACATATGGGAGTGGCCAAGACCAGAGAGCGTCTTCGAGCTAAGTATTACTGGTACAAGTGTTCACAAGAGGCCAGGGACTACGTAGCCACGTGTTCGAGATGTAACCGGAACAAGAAACCGCTGAAACATGCGCAGTCAGAGTTGACATGTTTCCATGCAGGCGCCCCCATGGAAAGAGTACACATGGACTTTGTTGGGCCGCTGCCCCTCAGCAGACGAGGGAATCAACACATCCTCATGATCGTAGATCAGTTTACCAAATGGGTGGAGTGCATTCCCTTGCCCAGCCAGAAAGCGGAGGTGACAGCCAGAGCAGCTGTCAAGGAGTTTTTCACGCGTTTCGGATTCCCTTTCCAGATACATACCGACCAAGGAAGGAACTTCGAGAGCCGAATGTTCCAGGCGGTGTGTGACCTATTGCACATCTCCAAGACGAGAACAACACCGTACCGACCATCTTCAAATGGGCAGGTAGAGCGCTACAATCTGACTCTTCTCCAGATGGTCCGATGTCACATCGGCAAGTCACAGGACACCTGGGATGAGTTTTTGCCTCAACTTTCCAGCGCAATCCGATCCTCTGTTAACAGGCAAACAGGTTTCACAGCAAACAGACTTATGCTGGGCAGGGAGGTGAACACGCCAGTGGATCTGATGTTTGGATCCCCGGTCCCCGAGGAAGAGGGCACCAGTGTCCATGAGTATGTCAGAGATCTGAAGGAAGCAATCCAGGAGGCCCATGACCTGGCTCGAGTGACACTAAAATCTGCAAGCGCTCGCATGAAAAGGGACTACGACCTGAAAACCTTGACCCGGACATTCCAAGAAGGCCAGCCGGTATATGTGTTGGACTGCGGTACTGGGCCAGTGTAAGAAGCTCTGTCCTGTATGGAAGGGGCCTTATCTTATTGTAAGGAAGATCACGTCAAACCTTTTCATCGTGGCTACCCCAAAGAAGGAACTAACAGTACATCATGACAGAATCAAGCCGTGCGAAGACCGTGAGCTCCCCCGATGGATGAAGAAAAAGATGAAATCGGAGGAAACAAGGTGGGATCTGGGAGGACTGTTTCCTGAACCGACTGAGGATACTCCAGACCCGGATGCAGAAGATGAACTTCTTTACTGCCTATGCCGCCAGCCTGATGATGGAGAATTTATGATTGCTTGTGATACGCATGCCATCAGATCAACCCCTTCAATGATTGTGGGGGGTAGCAGTCCTGGTTGCAGCCATAGCTGGAATTGGGAACCACGAGCTGTTGCAGCAGAGCGTGGACAACGCCGGCCGGAGAACAGCTCCGAAACCCTTGACCGTCATGGCTATGGCGGTCCCAGTAATTAAGCTCCCGGGTGCAACTGACGTGCAGTTGGTTGCTCTCCCAAATCAGGGAAACCCCTGAAGACCCATTTGAAAATGGTGTATTCTCGGCAGTGGATCTGTCGGGATATGTTTAAGGTGTGAGGAAGCCCCTTCATGGTTAGGGGGGGCTTAGTAAACAGGGAGGGATGTAGTGATCGTAGGTTTCCGGAGGTCTTCGGAAAGGTTCAAGTTGGTCGTCCCGTGGCTGACCACGGGAGACCCTGAGATTGAGAGTGTTGTCAGCCATCGTTGTAAGTAAACCAGGTCGAGTACCCAGCTCAATGCAGTATTGAATATTATACTGACTTGACGAACTGACAGCCCTTGTACGTGAGTAGAAAACAAGGTTTGTGAAACCGAGATATCGTTTTCACAACAATAGTTTCTGTCACCACCCATTTCCCGATAACAGCGGCTGTCCGCTCAGTAACATGAAGAAATACCCCCGTTTTTGAGGCTTCGTATGAATAAAACGTTCGTCGTAGAATGGCATATGACACATCGCTGGAAAGCTTATTCCTTCATCTACATTCTCGTAACATCGACTGTTCTTTTCCGTAGTTATAACAAGCGATTTCATTGGATTAAAATTGGTTTCTAATGACGCTTTCTTGCCGAAATCTGCTACAAGTTTCGTGATTGGACAATTTTGAGCACGTGATCTAAGGCAGCCAATCAAATTACAGCTGTGATACCAAGCTCGTGTTTGATAAATTTCAGAAGTTGGCGAAATTTTTTTGTTAAATCTTGCTATTCTGAACGTTTTAGAAGGAAATCTCGATATATATTAAAAATATGGAACTTCGTTAACGTATGGTGCTAGGTTACGGCTGTGACAAAGATTTTTCATGCATATATATTTGCATCAAACATCGTGTCCGAGCCGAGAATTCAAGGCGACGAAAGCCGAGATGTCATTTGACTTACATTACACGCGGTCGCACGAAAAGATGGAAATAATAACTTAGATGTAAGTTTGATTACTTTTAGATATATTTTTGTTGATATTATTTATTACTTTGTATAATATATTTAAAGATTAGTTTAAAACGTCTTGATTTTGCTCTTTGACATGTTCGATGTGGGCCCGTATTTCAATAACATCGCGGGAATTAGTGAATATTTTTTTAATTTATCGATAAAAAATGATAAATTGAATTGGAATATGTATTTCAGACATTATGAAATGTGATAGATTTAATAAATGAATGATATTACAGGTAGGTCCATAAAAATATATACTATTTTGACGTGTCTACGGCTTGGCCCGTAAACCGGCCTACGGTGTCTGGGGACTCGATGCTTCTTGGCCGGAAAACCAGTCGCCATGTTTGAAGGCTGAAACTAATAGGAGTCATTTGATTGGTCGTACTACGAAAGTCAACCAATCATATTTGCCCTTGTTTCATCGCTTTATTTTCTTTACTGACTGAGTTGGAACAAAACGGACAATGTAAACAGCGGCAAATACGTTTTGTTTCTTGTAGTATATCAGCTGTGTATCGTTTTGTATCGATACATAGACCCACGAATCGATAGTCGTATCGAACTGTAGTGTATCGTGATACATCGATGTATCGGTGAATCGTCCCAGCCCTAGGAGAGACAGACATGTTATATACAGGAGAGACAGACATGCTATATACAGGAGAGACAGACATGTTATATACAGGAGAGACAGACATGTTATATACTCACCATCTCCTTCGTCTTGCTCAGGGACACTTCTCTATTTGAACGCTTCTTTTTCACTCTCTTTTCTGCCTTCAGTAGCTGCAAAAATGAGACCAATACCAGTTCTGATAAAACTACCAAGTCATAAGAAACCTCACGTCCTCACAACACATACCAGTCAAAACAGTACATACCAGTCCTCACAGTACATACCAGTCCTCACAGCACATACCAGTCCTCACAGTACATACCAGTCCTCACAGCACATACCAGTCCTCACAGCACATACCAGTCCTCACAGTACATACCAGTCAAAACAACACATACCAGTTACATTAACACATACCAGTCCTCACAACACATACCAGTCCTCACAGTACATACCAGTCCTCACAGCACATACCAGTCCTCACAACACATACCAGTCCTCACAGTACATACCAGTCCTCACAGCACATACCAGTCCTCACAGTACATACCAGTCCTCACAGCACATACCAGTCCTCACAGCACATACCAGTCCTCAAAGTACATACCAGTCAAAACAACATATACCAGTTAAATCAACACATACCAGTCCTCACAGTACATACCAGTCCTCACAACACATACCAGTCAAAACAACACATACCAGTCCCCTAAAAACATGCTAGTCAAAACAACAAATACCAGTCAAAACAGCACATACCTGTCAAAACAACACATACCAGTCCTCACAACACATACCAGTCCTCACAGTACATACCAGTCCTCACAGCACATACCAGTCCTCACAACACATACCAGTCCTCACAGTACATACCAGTCCTCACAGCACATACCAGTCCTCACAGTACATACCAGTCCTCACAGCACATACCAGTCCTCACAGCACATACCAGGCCTCAAAGTACATACCAGTCAAAACAACATATACCAGTTAAATCAACACATACCAGTCCTCACAGTACATACCAGTCAAAACAACACATACCAGTCAAAACAACACATACCAGTCCTCACAGCACATACCAGTCCTCAAAGTACATACCAGTCAAAACAACATATACCAGTTAAATCAACACATACCAGTCCTCACAGTACATACCAGTCCTCACAACACATACCAGTCAAAACAACACATACCAGTCAAAACAGCACATACCTGTCAAAACAACACATACCAGTCCTCACAGCACATACCAGTCAAAAACACATACCTGTCCTCACAACACATACCAGTCCTCACAACACATACCAGTCCTCACAGCACATACCAGTCCTCACAGCACATACCAGTCCTCAAAGTACATACCAGTCAAAACAACATATACCAGTTAAATCAACACATACCAGTCCTCACAGTACATACCAGTCCTCACAACACATACCAGTCAAAACAACACATACCAGTCAAAACAGCACATACCTGTCAAAACAACACATACCAGTCCTCACAGCACATACCAGTCAAAAACACATACCTGTCCTCACAACACATACCAGTCCTCACAGTACATACCAGTCCTCACAACACATACCAGTCAAAACAACACATACCAGTCAAAACAACACATACCAGTCAAAACAGTACATACCAGTCCTCACAGTACATACCAGTCCTCACAGCACATACCAGTCCTCACAGCACATACCAGTCCTCACAGTACATACCAGTCTTCACAGTACATACCAGTCAAAACAACACATACCAGTTAAATTAACACATACCAGTCCTCACAACGCATACCAGTCCTCACAGTACATACCAGTCCTCACAGCACATACCAGTCCTCACAACACATACCAGTCCTCACAGTACATACCAGTCAAAACAGCACATACCAGTCCCCACAGTACATACCAGTCAAAACAGCACATACCAGTCAAAACAACACATACCAGTCCCCACAACACATACCAGTCAAAACAACACATACCAGTCAAAACAGCACATACCAGTCAAAACAACACATACCAGTCAAAACAGCACATACCAGTCAAAACAACACATACCAGTCAAAACAGCACATACCAGTCAAAACAGCACATACCAGTCAAAACAACACATACCAGTCAAAACAGCACATACCAGTAAAAACAGCACATACCAGTCAAAACAACACATACCAGTCAAAACAGCACATACCAGTCAAAACAACACATACCAGTCAAAACAACACATACCAGTCAAAACAGCACATACCAGTCGAAACAACACACATCAGTGAAAACAGCACATACCAGTCAAAACAACACATACCAGTCAAAACAGCACATACCAGTCAAAACAACACATACCAGTCAAAACAGCACATACCAGTCAAAACAACACATACCAGTCAAAACAACACATACCAGTCAAAACAGCACATACCAGTCAAAACAACACACATCAGTGAAAACAACACATACCAGTCAAAACAGCACATACCAGTCAAAACAACACATACCAGTCAAAAAAACACATACCAGTCAAAACAACACATACCAGTCAAAACAGCACATACCAGTCAAAACAACACATACCAGTCAAAACAGCACATACCAGTCAAAACAACACATACCAGTCAAAACAACACATACCAGTCAAAACAACACATACCAGTCAAAACAACACATACCAGTCAAAACAGCACATACCAGTCAAAACAACACATACCAGTCAAAACAACACAAACCAGTCAAAACAACATATACCAGTCAAAACAACATATACCAGTCAAAACAAGAGTCATCAGAGGCTGAAATCCCCCTGGTCTGATGCAGTTCAGAAATGGAGTTTGGCTGTGTACCCTACGTTTGGCTGATTGCCATTGGACACCTTCAGTATAACTTCAATAATGCTCTTTAGTACTTTGTCCAATATCAAAAGGCACCAGTTCACCACCATACTGATCTATATAGCAAGTTTCAACAAAAAGTAATTAACGGTTTTGGAGTTCTGCTCTAGGCACAGAAAACATTTGTTTTCATCATGAAAACAAAATAAAAAGAACACAAATTCCAATCATCAAAAGGCACCAGTTCCAACAAAGACTTATCTATTTTGAAAATTTAAACAAGACATTAAATGGTTTTGGAGTTTTTCTCCGGGAAACAGATGGACAGACACGCTGTTTGCTATATTCCCCCATATATAACAAATACAACTCATTTTTAAACTCACAAGTCGTCATAAAACACATCATAACATGGTTGTCACTTCTTAACCCACCATTTATCATAATATGCCTGTCATTGCTAAACCCAACGCTCATCACACTACAACACAGACCCCAGATATCCCTTCCAGCAACTTGTCCAAGGACACTCACGTCTCATACCCACGGCCACCACAACCCTCCCTTGTCACTCATCCGGCAGTCAGGTGATAAACTCACCTTCATCAACGGCATGGTGGCGCCCCCTAGGAACATGATTGTAAACAACACAATGATCAGGGTCGTGGTCACAAGGACGTAGCGCTTCTCATCCTCGAACTCAAGATGGATGCTGAGGGCAAAGGCAATGGCACCCCGCAGACCTGTGAACACCACGATGCATCACTATTCCTACAATACACGGCATACACCACAATGCATCACTATTCCTACAAAACACGGCATATACCAAGATGCATCACTATTCCTACAATACACGGCATACACCACGATGCATCACTATTCCTACAATACACGGCATACACCACAATGCATCACTATTCCTACAATACACGGCATACACCACGATGCATCACTATTCATCGAAGAACACAGCTTTCACTCTGTCTCCCTCACAAAACTGTGGCTTCACAGTGGGTTTTTTATATTTTGTACCAGACACATCTGACTAGCTCTTGTGGATAAATAGAGGTTATCACGCGAGTGTGTTTGGGGATGGTAAATATCCTGCATTAGGAATAAACATTGTATTTAGCGAGCCTTGGCGAGCTAAATACATAGTGTTTATTCCTAATGCAGGATATTTAGCATCCCCAAACACACGAGCGTGATAACCTCTTTATCATATAATGTCATCCTTTAGTTCTTTGCTTCAAAATCCCTTCCCTCTCTCACAAACAATACCAAAACATTGCGAGTTTTCCTGGAATGCGCGCATTAATATTTATTAGGTCACAGGGTAAGTGATGTGTCAGTCGGACAGTGACAGTAGCCAAAATAGTTCCTACTGAAATCTCTTTCTTATACAGTGGCGAAGCAACATATACGCAAAACAACAATTGTTTTAATTGCTTTTCGCGGCAATCCATCGGTCTGTCTGCTAGAGTAACTGCCCTTTGTCAAAGGGAAGCTACTCTAATCCTAGTCTATGAGACGTAACAGCCACGGTCAGACGTTGTTGACAGTCGGTCTGTCCTGTCATAACATTAAGAAGTGTAGTCAGATCATGATGTACACACAGCGACAAAACGAAACAAGGTAACAATTCAAACATATTTCGGCCAAATCCAACTATTTTAATTTGTGGAAAAAGGTTCAAGGCGCAGAGGTCTACAAGCACAGATATGGCTACTGATCCCGCTTGGCTACGCCTCGTGCCCTCGCAAAATTGTGTCGAAATTTATATCTCAAAAGTTGCCAAAACTTATAAAATGCCTTAGCTACGTCACAGTTAGACACTGATTTTCAGTATATTAGACTGTTCTTTTGATAATGAAAGCAATTATCTCTGTAGTTTATCCAGATTCCCGATGGTTAATTCTGATTCGATCGCCGAATGACGAGGGCGAAGCCATGTTTGTTTATAAACAGTGAAAGTAGTCCCTACTTGACCTTTGATATTTGCATCTCTATCCGCATATGACCCAAACGGATATCGTTTTTATCCGTTGGCTTTATCCTGCCGAGAAACCTACCCATTATATGATAAAACATGTTACGGGAGGACAAGTCAACTAAGTCAGACTGAAGTCTCTCTGACAGACACAGTGTCTTAGTTTCACACTCAACATATGAGGACAACATGAGGAACCAGGTACAGCAGTCTCCCATCACAACTCCATGTTCTTATTCTTCACTAATTGAGCATGAGGTAAGTGGCACAGAATATCAGATTATTAAAAAAACTATTTTTCTAATGTCGTTAAATTTAAAAGAAAGGAATTGCAAGTCAACTAGATGGCGTTCCTTACCACTGAACCACATGATGAACTGCATCCCGCGTGTGATCTTGTGCTCACGGAAGAAGTTAACGAGGAAAGACAGCGGAAAAATATTGAAAGCTCTTCCAACCAATATCAACACCTGAAGGAAGAAAAAACAAAACAACATCCATTGTGTGAACCAACATTCAGGTGTCAGCATCACTTTGAAGCAGAAGGAAGCTCAGGGAGGGAGAGGGAATGGCCGCACCAGTCAGAAAAGAACAGGCAACTCTGGGACACTTGTGTCAGTCTTAGTGTAATATCTGTAATTGAAATACAGTACTTGTAAACTAGTGCATAATATTATGACAGGCCAACAGACGCCTGTTTGTTTAATGTGATTAGTTGCAGGTAAGCACAATCACATGCTGTATTGTAACATGTGACAGTCTTGAATAAATGGGTGGTCATGTGGCAGGCTCGTCTCCCTACTCCTGCATATGTCGTTGCTCTCTGAGAACCCAACAGTTGGTATGACAGGGAGTAGAGTAGAAGGGCACCAGGGGAGGGAGAAGGAATAGCCAGCACTTGTCAAAATTGTCGACACCAATGCATGACAGTACCCCGACACTTCTTACTAATCAATAATAAACGAACAGACAAAGTGGACAATGGCTTCACATATAAGTTTATCAACTGAGAAGAGAAGTTCAAGTACTTACTATACTCCATATCACAAAGGCTGGCTTCACATTGACTTTAAAACTGAAAATGGCTAACCCAAGATATGCAAAGACACACGTCTCTGAAAAAGAAAAAAAAGGTATTCAGTCATTACATCACAGACAGCTGCCTGAGAGAGATGACACACATTAACTTGAGCATATTAACATGATGACAGACAGTCACACACTTGACAACTCTCAGTATTGGTATGTCCTGCACTTACGACATCACCGATCTGTAAATGACAGATCCATATACAAAACACTGACAGTTTCATTGTGCAGTGGCCGGCTGTTGTCTCCTGATGCTAGCAGCCGTGTTGGGTGCGGTTCTATCAGAGATGACTGCAGCCAGGACAGCCATTCTATTTACCCTGGACAGACAAATACAGTTATCCTTATTTTGACAAATAACAAATATGAAATAAGTATCAATGTTCCACTCAGACTGAGTAAATGAATTGTCTCCTGCTTTGTTGGGTTGTGTCAGTCAACTGAGTCCTAATTAAATGAGATGCTAATTACCAATATGTGGATGTAGCAACATCATCACCTGATTATTTGTCATCCATGAATAGACTGAACAGCTTGCCTCATCCTGACTCGTGTTACTGTGACGAATTGCGGCGATGGAACACTGGAGAGACGGGCGGGGGGCAGTCATGTTTTCCAAATGGTTGTCATAGCAACCCAGGAGTATGTACTCCTCCCTCATCCTATTGTTCTCCAGTCGGATTAAATCTCATAAACGGGGTTGTTGTAATATCCCTGGGATTTTATTTGATATTCCAGGCATATTTGATTAATACAACTTCCGTTTAGATAGTAACATATGAATGTTTCTGGCTAGAATTTTATTTTGCATTTTGCAACCTTCGTGTCTGTAGCCCAGTGAGTGTAACATGCAACCTTCGTGTCTGTAGCCCAGTGAGTGTAACAGGCAACCTTCATGTCTGTAGCCCAGTGAGTGTAACATGCAACCTTCGTGTCTGTAGCCCAGTGAGTGTAACATGCAACCTTCATGTCTGTAGCCCAGTGAGTGTAACATGCAACCTTCATGTCTGTAGCCCAGTGAGTGTAACATGCAACCTTCGTGTCTGTAGCCCAGTGAGTGTAACATGCAACCTTCGTGTCTGTAGCCCAGTGAGTGTAACATGCAACCTTCCTGTCTGTAGCCCAGTGAGTGTAACATGCAACCTTCGTGTCTGTAGCCCAGTGAGTGTAACATGCAACCTTCATGTCTGTAGCCCAGTGAGTGTAACATGCAACCTTCGTGTCTGTAGCCCAGTGAGTGTAACATGCAACCTTCATGTCTGTAGCCCAGTGAGTGTAACACACAACCTTCGTGTCTGTAGCCCAGTGAGTGTAACATGCAACCTTCATGTCTGTAGCCCAGTGAGTGTAACATGCAACCTTCGTGTCTGTAGCCCAGTGAGTGTAACATGCAACCTTCATGTCTGTAGCCCAGTGAGTGTAACATGCAACCTTCATGTCTGTAGCCCAGTGAGTGTAACATGCAACCTTCGTGTCTGTAGCCCAGTGAGTGTAACATGCAACCTTCGTGTCTGTAGCCCAGTGAGTGTAACATGCAACCTTCATGTCTGTAGCCCAGTGAGTGTAACATGCAACCTTCATGTCTGTAGCCCAGTGAGTGTAACATGCAACCTTCATGTCTGTAGCCCAGTGAGTGTAACATGCAACCTTCATGTCTGTAGCCCAGTGAGTATACCACTAGTCTAAATAGGTGCTGAAAAATCACAATGCTTTTAAGAATTTCTTTTTCAAGTAACATATGCCAGCAACAGATACTTTACGTCCGTTTCCTAAGGTTCATGGAAAATATGTTTGAAACATAAAAATGTTAATAAATGTTGTCTAAAATTTCCTTTTTTGGTTTCTAAGTTAGAAAAAACACTATCTTATGTTTTATGATATTTTAAACCCTACACACATAGGAGTACTGTAACACTGACAAGTACACTGAGAGTACTGAATGTAATTTAATGGATTAATCTTGTATTTCATTTTAGATATGCACCACAGCATTGCTACTCTCACATAAACAGGTTAAAATACAATAAATAAAACTTTTTTCTTTGTTTCTTATCTTTTGTATAATGCGCATCCCCCTCTAGAGTATTCAGAATTATGAGAGAGAAAAATACAGTATTATGAGCAGAAAAAAATTACTAAGTATCCCTTCAGTGAAGTAAATGTGGTTTTCTTCCCACATAAAGACTCACCTGCTATAAAGATGCACCTGCTATAAAGACTGACCTGCTAGAAAGTCTCACCTCCTAGAAAGTCTCACCTGCTATAAAGACACATCTAGTATAAAGTCTCACCTGCTATAAAGACACACCTGCTATAAAGTGAGTGAGTGAGTATGGTTTTACGCCGCTTTTAGCAATATTCCAGCAATATCACGGCGGGGGACACCAGAAATGGGCTTCACACATTGTACCCATGTCGGGAATCGAACCCGGGTCTTCGGCGAGGTGAACGCTTTAACCACTAGGCTACCCGACCGCCCCACCTGCTATAAAGACACATCTCCTATAGACACACATGTTATAAAGTCTCACCTGCTATAAAGACACACCTGCTAAAAAGACTGACCTGCTATAAAGGCACACCTGCAATAAAGACTCACCTGCCATAAAGGCGCACCTGCCATAAAGACACACCTTCTATAAAGACACACCTGCTATAAAGACACACCTGCTATAAAGATGCACTGCTATAAAGACACACCTGCCATAAAGGTGCACCTTCTATAAAGACAGACCTGCTATAAAGACGGACCTGCTATAAGGAGGCACTGCTGTAAAGACACCCCTGCTGTAAAGACACACCTGCTATAAAGACTGACCTGCTATAAAGGCGCACCTGCCATAAAGATACAACTGCTATAAAGACACACCTGCTATAAAGACACACCTACTATAAAGACACACCTGCTATAAAGACTGACCTGCTATAAAGACGCACAACTATAAAGACACACCGGCCATAAAGACTGACCTGCTATAAAGACTGACCTGCTATAAAGGCACACCTGCTATAAAGGCACACCTGCTACAAAGACACACCTGCTATAAAGACACACCTGCTATAAAGACTGACCTACTATAAAGACACACCTGCTATAAAGACTGACCTGCTATAAAGACTGACCTGCTATAAAGACACACCTGTCATAAAGACACACCTCCCATATAGACACACCTGCTATAAAGACACAGCTGCTACAGAGACTGACCTGCTGTGAAGACACACCTGCAACAGAGACTGACCTGCTACAGAGACTGACCTGCTATGAAGACACACCTGCTATGAAGACACACCTGCTACAGAGACTCACCTGCTATACAGACACACCTGCTACAGAGACTCACCTGCTATCAAGACACACCTGCTACAGAGACTGACCTGCTGTGAAGACACACCTGCTATGAAGACACACCTGCTGTGAAGACACACCTGCTATGAAGACACACCTGCTACAGAGACTGACCTGCTGTGAAGACACACCTGCTATGAAGACACACCTGCTACAGAGATTGACCTGCTTTGAAGACACACCTGCTACAAAGACTGATCTGCTATGAAGACACACCTGCTAAAGAGACTGACCTGCTGTGAAGACACACCTGCTGTGAAGACACACCTGCTATGAAGACACACCTGCTACAGAGACTGACCTGCTGTGAAGACACACCTGCTATAAAGACACACCTGCTACAGAGACTGACCTGCTGTGAAGACACACCTGCTACAGAGACTGACCTGCTATGAAACCACAGAGACTGACCTGCTGTGAAGACACACCTGCTACAGAGACTGACCTGCTACAGAGACTGACCTGCTATGAAGGCGATGGTGCGGAAGGCCTGCTACAGAGACTGACCTGCTATGAAGGCGATGGTGCGGAAGGCCTGCTACAGAGACTGACCTGCTATGAAGGCGATGGTGCGGAAGGTCTGCTACAGAGACTCACCTGCTATGAAGGCGATGGTGCGGAAGGCCTGCTACACAGACTGACCTGATATGAAGGCGATGGTGCGGAAGGTCTGCTACAGACACTCACCTGCTATGAAGGCGATGGTGCAGAAGGCCTGCTACAGAGACTCACCTGCTATGAAGGCGATGGTGCGGAAGGCCTGCTACAGAGACTGACCTGCTATGAAGGCGATGGTGCGGAAGGCCTGCTACAGAGACTGACCTGCTATGAAGGCGACGGTGCGGAAGGCCTGCTACAGAGACTCACCTGCTATGAAGGCGATGGTGCGGAAGGTCTGCTACAGAGACTGACCTGCTATGTAGGCGATGGTGCGGAAGGCCTGCTACAGAGACTGACCTGCTATGAAGGCGATGGTGCGGAAGGTCTGCTACAGAGACTCACCTGCTATGAAGGCGATGGTGCGGAAGGCCTGCTACAGAGACTGACCTGATATGAAGGCGATGGTGCGGAAGGTCTGCTACAGACACTCACCTGCTATGAAGGCGATGGTGCAGAAGGCCTGCTACAGAGACTGACCTGCTATGAAGGCGATGGTGCGGAAGGCCTTCTACACAGACTGACCTGCTATGAAGGTGATGGTGCGGAAGGCCTGCTACAGAGACTGACCTGCTATGAAGGCGATGTTGCGGAAGGCCTGCTACAAAGGCGATGGTGCGGAAGGCCTGCTACAGAGACTGACCTGCTATGAAGGCGATGGTGCGGAAGGTCTGCTACAGAGACTGACCTGCTATGAAGGCGATGGTGCAGAAGGCCTGCTACAGAGACTGACCTGCTATGAAGGCGATGGTGCGGAAGGCCTGCTACAGAGACTGACCTGCTATGAAGGCGATGGTGCGGAAGGTCTGCTACAGAGACTCACCTGCTATGAAGGCGATGGTGCGGAAGGTCTGCTACAGAGACTCACCTGCTATGAAGGCGATGGTGCGGAAGGTCTGCTACAGAGACTCACCTGCTATGAAGGCGATGGTGCAGAAGGTCTGCTACAGAGACTGACCTGCTATAAAGGCGATGGTGCGGAAGGTCTGCTGCACGGTGATCTGAGTGACGGCTGACAGGTTGTTGTGGGTGTAGTGTGACATGACGATCCCACAGAACAAGATGGCCATGATACCTGAATAATCAAACACCAGCAGCTGAAGGAATAATGTGAAGTTGAAACCTGAAGAGGAAGCTGTTCAAACATGGGACATCCTGGTGAACAGGAAACTACTTTGAAACACAGCAAAACGTCATCACATTCACACTTGCAAAATGGTTCATGAAATTTACAGTTTGTGCATCTTCAGTGCTCCATGGCTTGATGTGCCCGATGTTCCTCCATCACCTCCATCACCTGTGAACACATGGGGCAGTGGTGTCTTGTAATGCAAGGAGGCCATACAGAGCTCAACTCTATGCATGATTCTTGTGTGAACTCTAGGAATGATTCTTGTGTGGATTCTATGCATGATTCATGTGTGAACTCTAGGAATGAATCTTGTGTGAACTCTAGGAATGAATCTTGTGTGGACTCTAAGCATGATTTTTGTGTGGACTCTATGCATGATTCTTGTGTGGATTCTATGCATGATTATTGTGTGAACTCTATACATGATTTTTGTGTGAACTCTATGCATGACTCTATGAGGTTAATGATCTTGTGTGATAATGATCTCCTGTATTAATGATCTCGTGTGATAATGATCTCCTGTGTTAATGATCTCCTGTGTTAATGATCTCATATGTTAATGATCTCATATGTTAAAGATCTCCTGTGTTAATGATCTCCTGTGTTAATGATCTCCTGTGATAATGATTTCCTGCGTTAATGATCTCCTGCATTAATGATCTCGTGAGATAATGATCTCCTGTATTAATGATCTCCTATGTTAAGGATCTCCTATGTTAATGATCTCATATGTTAAGGATCTCCTGTGTTAATGGTCTCCTGTGTTAATGTTCTCCTGTATTAATGATCTCCTGCATTAATGATCTCCTGTGTTAATGATCTCCAATGTTAATGATCTCACATGTTAAGGATCTTCAATGTTAATGATCTCATTTGTTAATGATCTCCTATGTTAATGATCTCCTGCGTTAATGATCTCCAATGTTAATGATCTCCTGTGTTAATGATCTTCTGTGTTAATGATATCCTGTGTTAATAATCTCCTGTGTTAATGATCTCCTGTGATAATGATCTCCTGTGTTAATGATCTCCTGCATTAATGATCTCCTGTGTTTATGATCTCCAATGTTAAGGATCTCCTATGTTAATGATCTACTATGTTAATGATCTACTGTGTTAATGATCTCATACGTTAAGGATCTCCTGTGTTAAAGATCTCCCGTGTTAATGATCTCATATGTGAAGGATCTCCTGTGTTAATGATCTCCTGTGTTAATGATCTCCTGTGTTAATGATCTCCTGTGTTTTTTGTTGTTGTTTTTTTTCTTTTATTGTTTTTAGAAAGACACACCTGTTACATAAATGGGCTTCCACCAAGGGTAGCAGAAAGCCCATGACATAAAGCACAACTTATCAGTACATCTTACTTTGTTTGTTTTTTTACAGAAAATAACATACTTCTCACTCACACATTCACTCTTGTTTATATATCATATTGCAGTTTAGGAAAGTACATGGTCTCAAACATTAAAATCCTAAGTACAAAACTAAAATTAAATTGAAAGCTGCTCCTCATTTTCAAAAAGTTGATGATACAGCATCCAAGCACCATAGAATTTCTGTTGATTACCTGTCTTGAAAGCAATATCTTTTATAATGTTGTATCGTGAAAAAGCTTCCTTTTTATAAACATGAAAATAAGGTTTTGTATTTTGGAATTTGCATCTATAAATATAGTATTTTGCAATTAGTAAAAGTAAATCAAACACTTTATCTGTTTTTATGTTCTCTTTAACTCCAAAAAGTATCAATTCTGCACAAAATGTCATATTATAAACATGAAAGCACTGGTCGATCCACAATGACACTTCATCCCAAAATTGTTTTATTACATCACATTCCCAAAACAAGTGAGTAATTGTTTCCTTTTCTTTGTGACAAAAGGAGCACAAATCATTCTGAGCATAACTGAGTAAATACAGAAAAGTATTAGTGGTGAGAATTCTGTGGGTAATTTTGTATTGAAACTGATCTGTGTTAATGATCTCATATGTGAAGGATCTCCTGCGTTAATGATCTCCTGTGTTAATGATCTCCTGTGTTAATGATCTCCTGTGTTAATGATCTTCTGTGTTAATGATCTCCTGCGTTAATGATCTCCTGTGTTAATGATCTCCTGTATTAATGATCTCCTGTGTTAATGATCTCCAATCTTAATGATCTCATATGTTAAGGATCTCCTATGTTAAGGATCTCCTGTGTTAATGATCTCCAATGTTAATGATCTTCTGTGTTAAGGATCTCCTGCATTAATGATCTCCTGTGTTAATGATCTCCTGTGTTAATGATCTCCTATGTTAATGATCTCCTGCGTTAATATTATTCTGTGTTAATGATCTCCTGTATTAATGATCTTCTGTATTAATGATCTCCTGTATTAATGAGTTCCTGTAAGTGACGTACAGAGAAGATACTCACCTGATAGATGTATGCCCTCGGCCAACCCGTACGGCAAATAGGAAAAAATAAACATCATCCCAAACTCCAGGGATGGTGTCTTGTGTAGATCAACAAACTTGAGTAACTGAAGAGACATTAAGGAGAAAACACCTCTCACACATTCTGTACACCTCTCACACATTCTGTACACCTCTCACACATTCTGTACACCTCTCACACATTCTGTACGAATCTCACACATTCTGTACACCTCTCACACATTCTGTACACCTCTCACACATTCTGTACACCTCTCACACATTCTGTACACCTCACACATCCTGTACACCTCTCACACATACTGTACACCTCTCACACATTCTGTACACCTCTCACACATTCTGTACACCTCTCACACATTCTGTACACCTCCCACACATTCTGTACACCTCTCACATATTCTGTACACCTCTCACACATTCTGTACACCTCTCACACATTCTGTACACCTCTCACACATTCTGTACGAATCTCACTTGAATCATTGACACGGAGGAGTGGGTGGATTGGCGGGTGGATGGGTGAGTGAGTCGGTCGGTGGTGAACGAATGGGTGAACAGATGTGTGAGTGAGTGAGTGAGTGAGTGAGTACGCATACGTAGTTGTACATAAGTAGCTGTACATACGTAGCTGTACATAAGTAGCTGTACATAAGTTGCTGTACATAAGTAGCTGTACATAAGTAGCTGTACATAAGTAGCTGAAAATGTGTAGCTGTACATAAGCAGCTGTACATAAGTAGCTGTACATAAGTAGCTGTACATAAGTCGCTGTACATAAGTAGCTGTACATAAGAAGCTGTATATGTGTAGCTGTACATAAGTAGCTGTACATAAGCAGCTGTACATAAGTAGCTGTACATAAGTAGCTGTACATAAGTAGCTGTACATAAGAAGCTGTACATAAGTTGCTGTACATAAGCAGCTGTACATAAGTTGCTGTACATAAGTAGCTGTACATACATAGCTGTACATAAGCAGCTGTACATAAGTAGGTGTACATATGTAGCTGTACATATGTAGCTGTACATAAGTAGCTGTACATACGTTGCTGTACATAAGTAGCTGTACATAAGTTGCTGTACATAAGTAGCTGTACAAAAGTTGCTGTACATAAGTAGCTGTACATAAGTTGCTGTAGATAAGCAGCTGTTCATAAGTAGCTGTACATAAGCAGCTGTACATAAGTAGCTGTACTTTAGTAGCTGTACATAAGCAGCTGTACATAAGTTGCTGTACATAAGTTGCTGTACATAAGTAGCTGTACATAAGTAGCTGTACATAAGTTGCTGTACATAAGTAGCTGTACATCAGTAGCTGTACATAAGTTCCTGTACATAAGTAGCTGTACATAAGTAGCTGTACATAAGTTGCTGTACATAAGTTGCTGTACATAAGCAGCTGTACATAAGGAGCTGTACGTAAGTAGCTGTACATAAGTAGCTGTACATAAGTTGCTGTACATAAGTTCCTGTACATAAGTAGCTGTACATAAGCAGCTGTACATACGTAGCTGTACATAAGTAGCTGTACATACGTAGCTTTTCATAAGTAGCTGTACATAAGTTGCTGTACATAAGTCCCTGTACATAAGTTGCTGTAGATAAGTTGCTGTACATAAGTTGCTGTACATAAGTTGCTGTACATAAGTAGCTGTACATAAGTTTCTGTACATAAGCAGCTGTACATAAGTTGCTGTACATATTACAGACATGGACAAATGGATCCAACTCAGTCATCTCTCAAAGCAGGCTGCTGCTGGGGACTGTTGTCATGGTTACATGTGGACATTTGATACAAGGATACCATGGCACTGACGAGACCACATGCCGCCCCAATGGCAGACGATGCGAAGAACATGAGACAGAATCTGCCGACGGCCTGGAAGAAGGCAGCTGCGCCGCTGGTGATCACCATGCCAGGGGCAGAGAACTCTAAGATGGTGCTGAAACACAAAAACATTGAATGTTAAATCTTAAGACTCCAGAGTCCCTCCTTAGAAAATGATTCAGTTTACAAATAAAACAATAATATGAATGACTAAAAGTCTTTGAAATCAGTCCCACCATCTAAAGCCATGGAGATTGGAGTTTAATCCCTGGAGGTTGTGGGTAGAAACAGGCCTGGGGGAAACACATAGTGCTTGTGATGGCAATCAGGCGTGTCAGCGTCAGTGTCAGAGACTCACAATCAGCCATGACTGTGTGCAATACAATGTCAATTCATGATCTTCTAGATTTGATTAAGTCGGGGAACTCCATACCATGTTTAACTAACAGCCCTGATCATGTACACACCTACTTCCCCTGGGGTCGAGAACTGTCTACAAATATTGACATTTCTCTGGGCCCCCATTTTGTAGTTTGGGGTCCCTGGTTTAACCTGGGACTCCTACAAATGAAGGCTTGGAATCCTCTGGACACCCAAAATAGACAAGCCAGGTCAATCCCAGCTAAGTGATGCAACTCTGCACAATGAATGGGCCCCACCCGTCTCAAGATGTCACTAGTCATGTTCCTTCAAAAAAGTGGTAAACTACTGCACTCACGTTGTGAGCACGATGGAGACGGCATCGTTGAGCACGCTCTCGCCAAACACCAACATGTACAGAATCGGGTCCACATCCAGTGCATGGAAGATAGCCAGGGTCGCCACCGGGTCGACGGCCGAGATCAGCGACCCGAACGCAAAACTCTCAACAATGTCCAGTTTATAAGCCACGTCTGCCTACCAACACAATGAACCCTTGAACACATTGAACACAATAACACAAGTTGACACTGAACACAGAGAACCCTTGTCAGGTTAGGGGAGAGAATATATGGATGTCAACTTTATTTACAACGTTTCGGAGTATATGCTTACTCCTTCATCAGGTGAATGAATGCCATGAGGCAGAGAGCATATATGATGTACATGTAAGGACAACAAAAATTAATAAGATGGAAAAGGTGGAAAATAACCAAGGGTAGAAGCTAACAAAGGAAGCCAACAGATGATTGGTGCTGATAGGTGATTAGCAGTAGACAATGGAAGCCAACAGATGATTGGTGCTGATAGGTGATTAGCAGTAGACAATGGAAGCCAACAGATGATTGGTGCTGATAGGTGATTAGCAGTAGACAATGGAAGCCAACAGATGATTGGTGCTGATAGGTGATTAGCAGTAGACAATGGAAGCCAACAGATGATTGGTGCTGATAGGTGATTAGCAGTAGACAAAGGAAGCCAACAGATGATTGGTGCTGATAGGTGATTAGCAGTAGACAATGGAAGCCAACAGATGATTGGTGCTGATAGGTGATTAGCAGTAGACAATGGAAGCCAACAGATGATTGGTGCTGATAGGTGATTAGCAGTAGACAATGGAAGCCAACAGATGATTGGTGCTGATAGGTGATTAGCAGTAGACAATGGAAGCCAACAGATGATTGGTGCTGATAGGTGATTAGCAGTAGACAATGGAAGCCAACAGATGATTGGTGCTGATAGGTGATTAGCAGTAGACAATGGAAGCCAACAGATGATTGGTGCTGATAGGTGATTAGCAGTAGACAAAGGAAGCCAACAGATGATTGGTGCTGATAGGTGATTAGCAGTAGACAATGGAAGCCAACAGATGATTGGTGCTGATAGGTGATTAGCAGTAGACAATGGAAGCCAACAGATGATTGGTGCTGATAGGTGATTAGCAGTAGACAATGGAAGCCAACAGATGATTGGTGCTGATAGGTGATTAGCAGTAGACAATGGAAGCCAACAGATGATTGGTGCTGATAGGTGATTAGCAGTAGACAATGGAAGCCAACAGATGATTGGTGCTGATAGGTGATTAGCAGTAGACAATGGAAGCCAACAGATGATTGGTGCTGATAGGTGATTAGCAGTAGACAATGGAAGCCAACAGATGATTGGTGCTGATAGGTGATTAGCAGTAGACAAAGGAAGCCAACAGATGATTGGTGCTGATAGGTGATTAGCAGTAGACAATGGAAGCCAACAGATGATTGGTGCTGATAGGTGATTAGCAGTAGACAATGGAAGCCAACAGATGATTGGTGCTGATAGGTGATTAGCAGTAGACAATGGAAGCCAACAGATGATTGGTGCTGATAGGTGATTAGCAGTAGACAATGGAAGCCAACAGATGATTGGTGCTGATAGGTGATTAGCAGTAGACAATGGAAGCCAACAGATGATTGGTGCTGATAGGTGATTAGCAGTAGACAAAGGAAGCCAACAGATGATTGGTGCTGATAGGTGATTAGCAGTAGACAATGGAAGCCAACAGATGATTGGTGCTGATAGGTGATTAGCAGTAGACAATGGAAGCCAACAGATGATTGGTGCTGATAGGTGATTAGCAGTAGACAAAGGAAGCCAACAGATGATTGGTGCTGATAGGTGATTAGCAGTAGACAATGGAAGCCAACAGATGATTGGTGCTGATAGGTGATTAGCAGTAGACAATGGAAGCCAACAGATGATTGGTGCTGATAGGTGATTAGCAGTAGACAATGGAAGCCAACAGATGATTGGTGCTGATAGGTGATTAGCAGTAGACAATGGAAGCCAACAGATGATTGGTGCTGATAGGTGATTAGCAGTAGACAATGGAAGCCAACAGATGATTGGTGCTGATAGGTGATTAGCAGTAGACAAAGGAAGCCAACAGATGATTGGTGCTGATAGGTGATTAGCAGTAGACAATGGAAGCCAACAGATGATTGGTGCTGATAGGTGATTAGCAGTAGACAATGGAAGCCAACAGATGATTGGTGCTGATAGGTGATTAGCAGTAGACAAAGGAAGCCAACAGATGATTGGTGCTGATAGGTGATTAGCAGTAGACAATGGAAGCCAACAGATGATTAGTGCTGATAGGTGATTAGCAGTAGACAATGGAAGCCAACAGATGATTGGTGCTGATAGGTGATTAGCAGTAGACAAAGGAAGCCAACAGATGATTGGTGCTGATAGGTGATTAGCAGTAGACAATGGAAGCCAACAGATGATTGGTGCTGATAGGTGATTAGCAGTAGACAATGGAAGCCAACAGATGATTGGTGCTGATAGGTGATTAGCAGTAGACAAAGGAAGCCAACAGATGATTGGTGCTGATAGGTGATTAGCAGTAGACAATGGAAGCCAACAGATGATTAGTGCTGATAGGTGATTAGCAGTAGACAATGGAAGCCAACACTTTATCATCATAGCAAAGTAATTGGTAATGGACACTTTGATCGATCTCACTGTCCCCATCTGGATTTATGTCCTTGTGCAAGTCATATCTCTAATAATAGATTCACTAACATTATCTTAATCTGTTTTACTCATTTCTTAATTACCATATGTCATTGGTAGTCAAGTGAGAACACTTAAGTAACAGTAATGTGTATACAGTAATAAGCTCGAACAATTGATGTCAGGTGTGCTTGTTTAATTAGGCTGGATTGGATAGATGAGTTCGAGACAACTGGGAATTCAACACATCCAGCTCGACAGATCCGGGTATAAATGATGATAAATATTGAAGGAAGGTGAGTTCGAGACAACCAGGAATTCCGGAATCTGACACATTCAAGATCGACACAACGAGGTTTAACTGTATACACAACTGTAACTAACAAGTGGAGAGGATAGGAAACGGTGTAGAATTTGTTTCCAATCACATTCACTGTCGTAAATAAAACATGGTTAAGCTAAGGTGTTATGTGTCCTTGTAGCTGAGTATTAGGCAGGAATGAGAAGTGTAGTAAGTTAAAAAATACAGTTGGAAGCAGAGAACTGAAGCAGGGTGAAACGTACCTGACTTGCCTATTTAATTTCATACACGAAGAAGTGGTTGTGTAGTGACACAAACATATTTTCATTAAGTATTAAAAATGGATCCAAATTGTTAGGGCACTACAGACGCCATTGTTAGAATCATGTACACACAGGTTCACGAACAACACAAGACCAGGGATGCATTATTCCTCATCCAAAAAACATCCATGTTTACTGATGAAGAAACTTCATGATGATACATGCACAAAGGACATTTTCAGTATGGCTGCCTTAAAGCTTACTCTAAAGTGACATGGTCGTGTGAGACATGGTCGTGTGTGACATGGTCGTGTAAGACATGGTCGTGTGTGACAGATTCAGATGCTATTTATTGAAAGCCAGTAGTATCCCCCAGTCTTACCTGTCCCAACAGGTAGATCCCCCCGCCGACAATGACAGCAGATATCGCTGTCCCGAACACAGCAAACACCAGGATGGAACCGATATTCTGAAAGAAGTTACCCTGAAACAAAACATGCAACATCAGGACACAGAATGTCAACCTGCAGCATCAGATATGTCTGACTGTCAACCTGCAGCATCAGATATGTGAGACTGTCAACCTGCAGCATCAGATATGTCTGACTGTCAACCTGCAGCATCAGATATGTCTGACTGTCAATCTGCAGCATCAGATATGTGAGACTGTCAACCTGCAGCATCAGGCATGTCTGACCGTCAACCTGCAGCATCAGATTAGTGAGACTGTCAACCTGCAGCATCAGGCATGTCTGACTGTCAACCTGCAGCATCAGGCATGTCTGACTGTCAACCTGCAGCATCAGATATGCAGGGATGTGAGCAGGTTTTCCCGATAAAAGAGGAAAAGTCTAGGTGGGTCTGGGGGCATGCCCCCCCAGAAATTTTTTAAACATTTGATTGCATTTTAAGCAATTTCATGCAGTTTGGACAACATTCACACCAAGAAATGTAATAAGTCAATAGCAAAGTTAATAAGTCAAATAAACAAGATGGCATATGCAGTAAAATTTCGAAGTTAAATCAGTACTTTTAAAAAATCGGGTATAGCTTTCGCGCACCTGGCTACCCGCCAGGTCTGGGAGCAATACTGCCATAAACTTCAACCCCCATCCCCCAGACACAAGGACAACTGTCACAAGCGTGCAATGTCTGACCCTTTCCCCATGTTGAAGCATATTGATAAAAATTTACCTTGTACTTACCTTTTGATGAAAAAAAACAAAACTCCATTGCAAACATAAGACATTAATACAACATATATCCCCATGGTATGGGGTTTTGGACGCTAAAGAAACATTCATAGTTTTATCGCTAATCACATGAACAACTGTAAAACATCTCATTCACTTACAGGCTAAAAGACAATTTTATCTTAAAAACAAACCATCAGCCATTTACAATTTCTGTGTGACGCCACATCCCACGTTATAGTGCAAGTATGCGTGATAGAAAACGATGATGTCCGAAAACCTATGCTGGTGAAAGCTCTGATCGTAAACAGGATTTTCCGCGACGGTTGTCCGGTTTTCGATCATATTTTTGGAGTGTTTTTTTTAAATTTTATATTAAATTTTTACGCGGAAGATGATTTTTTCCGAGGACTACTGTTTTAAAAAACACGACTTTCTGCGTTTCCGCGGAGATTTCACATCCCTGGATATGTGAGACTGTCAACCTGCAGCATCAGATATGTGAGACTGTCAACCTGCAGCATCAGATATGTCTGACTGTCAACCTGCAGCATCAGAAATTTGAGACTGTCAACATGCAGCATCAGATATGTCTGACTGTCAACCTGCAGCATCAGATATTTGAGACTGTCAACATGCAGCATCAGATATGTCTGACTGTCAACCTGCAGCATCAGATATTTGAGACTGTCAACATGCAGCATCAGATATGTCTGGCTGTCAACCTGCAGCATTAGATATGTCTGTCATCCCACCAAAATGGGTGCCAGTACTGATTCTTTCGACCACCTTACCTTGTGTAAATTGTAGCCAGACTCAAAGATGATAGGTGGCAGAAGTACAATGAAGAAGATGTTTGGTCGGAAGGCCTCCTCATTCTGGTAAACAATACACAGCAATAAACAGGAGAAACACATATCTGATTTAGATCTAAACATTTCGTACATTTATACATGTTTACATAACTTGATAGAACAGTGAAAATATTACCAACAGAAAGAACAAGCTTAACGTTCAGGGCACCCTCTTATCAGTCAATGGTTTACATATTTAGCATGGCGCAGACAAAATAAAATTTGTGTAGCTCAATATCTTTCCATTTCACTTGTCATGAAGCTGTTTCTCAGTTCAGTGAAAAATTGCCAATACTGTGTACTGTGTACGATGTTTATTGGGAGAATTACAATTAAGCTTAAACTATTTTGATTCTATTTTGTGGTTGTGGCTTTCAGCTATGGTTCAGTCCATAAACAAAATAGACAAATTGTGGCATAAATCTTACCTTCCAATTACCAAAATGGAAAAGTTTAAGGATTAGACCAATCAAGGCACCTGGAACATAGAACAGAAACACATTGACATAGACAGCAGGTGATATCTAGACAACTGCCCCCTCCGGGCTGACCGTGTTCAGTGTTAATGACGCTCCCGAAGTAGGCGTCGCTACACCAAGACTGCCACGACAAGTATCTAGACAACTGACCCCTCCGGGCTGACCGTGTTCAGTGTTAATGACGCTCCTGAAGGTGGCGTCGCTACACCAAGACTGCCACGACAAGTATCTAGACAACTGACCCCTCCGGGCTGACCGTGTTCAGTGTTAATGACGTTCCCAAAGGTGGCATCGCTACACCAAGACTGCCACGACAAGTATCTAGACAACTGCCCCCTCCGGGCTGACCGTGTTCAGTGTTCATGACGTTCCCGAAGGTGGCATCGCTACACCAAGACTGCCACGACAAGTATCTAGACAACTGCCCCCTCCGGGCTGACCGTGTTCAGTGTTCATGACGCTCCCGAAGGTGGCATCGCTACCCCAAGACTGCCACGACAAGTATCTAGACAACTGACCCCTCCGGGCTGACCGTGTTCAGTGTTCATGACGCTCCTGAAGGTGGCGTCGCTACACCAAGACTGCCACGACAAGTATCTAGACAACTGCCCCCTCTGGGCTGACCGTGTTCAGTGTTAATGATGCTCCTGAAGGTGGCGTCGCTACACCAAGACTGCCATGACAAGTATCTAGACAACTGCCCCCTCTGGGCTGACCGTGTTCAGTGTTAATGACGCTCCTGAAGGTGGCGTCGCTACACCAAGACTGCCACGACAAGTATCTAGACAACTGCCCCCTCCGGGCTGACCGTGTTCAGTGTTCATGACGCTCCCGAAAGTGGCCTCGCTACACTACGACTGCCACGACAAGTATCTAGACAACTGCCCCCTCTGGGCTGACCGTGTTCAGTGTTCATGACGCTCCCGAAAGTGGCCTCGCTACACTACGACTGCCACGACAAGTATCTAGACAACTGCCCCCTCTGGGCTGACCGTGTTCAGTGTTCATGACGCTCCCGAAAGTGGCCTCGCTACACTACGACTGCCACGACAAGTATCTAGACAACTGCCCCCTCTGGGCTGACCGTGTTCAGTGTTCATGACGCTCCCGAAGGTGGCGTCGCTACACTACGACTGCCACGACAAGCAGGTGTAGACTGAGTGGCTGGAACCTCACATGTTCATCACAATATTGTCTCAGGCAGGGACTGCCCGTCACACAATTGCAATTGGGATATGATGACATGCATCAACCAAGCGAGTCTGACCACCCGATTCATTTAGTTGCCTCTTACTGCAAACAAAGGTTGCTGAAGACCTATTCTAACCCGGATCTTAACTTATGAATTGTGTTTGAAATTTGTCAGAAATTTGTTTTAACCATGAAAATTCCATGACGTGAATCAAACCTGGAACCTTACATATCGTGTTAAGTTTTGTAACCCACTGTTTTCCCACTCAGCTACTGGGGCAGGAGATGAGAATTTGTTCAGATTATAAATCATGTCATGACTCCATCAAGTCAAGACCGCACATGTTTTTTCTCTCGCACGCTGGGAGCGAGTTCCTTTTATACCGCGATACACTGTATTGTTTCACTATAAGGTATGTCAATGTTTTCTTATTTTTCCTGGTATTTCTTGCATTTGGATTGTTCATAAGTAGGATATAAACTCCCCCCTCGGTCTTGACGGAGAATGTAAGCCCGGGGAGTAGGGAAGTTGGGTCGGGCGTTTGGCCCTTCATTATTTCCTACATCCCTGGGGTCACATTCTCTGTCAAGACCTCGTGGGGAGTTCATAGCCACAACGTACAGACATTGAGCTACTCACCAACAAGGACAATGGCGATGCTTTCAGGCAGGTAGTAGAACTTGGTCTGGATCAGCATGTGTGTCAGCAGGATACTGATGGCTGAAAACAGATCTCAAGGTCAGGTGGCTCGGAGTTGTGGGAAATAATCCAACTGGTAGGTGAATAAGGTAATTGTTATTGTGATCTGGAAAAGGTGAGCGGCAACCTGTTTGTTCCAGCTGTATGATGGCAGTCTGGTCCGACATCAAGTCTGGTCCGACATCAAGTCTGGTCCGACATCAAGTCTGGACCAGATAAACCAGTGACTGATATGTGCTTCCCATGCTCTCGGGGGTAAGGTGACACACAATCAAACTGACCACAGGTCACCTGCCAGCGGTATCATGACAGTCAATATTTGTAGAACATAATGCAACGGATGTTTGACAGCAAGTGTCTCTATCAGCCAGCAGACTCACAGAACACACCATGTAGTTCACTGTTAAAACAACAGAAGCTATTGAATCGCTCTGCACTGCATGGTATTTCTAACTACAATTTAAAATACAAGGAGGTGAGAGAAAGGCAACTTTTGATTGCTAAGTCGTTTCGTTACTTCTAAGGTTCTAGAAAAATATTTTATTCTCATATTTCTTTATTCAGGAGGGCGGTCATTAAATATTTCTTGAATTGATTTTTTTCCTCTCCATTTTCTCAGTATTTGGGTCAGCAGATCTGTAAACCAAGAAGAGAGAAAGCCACAGATGATGATTCACTTTTCCTGTCAATCAACCTGTGCTGAATGACGTCAACACCATCTTCTCCCCCAGCCTGAGTCCAGGGCCCACTTGCACAAAGCGATCTTAGTGCTAAGATGATTGTAACTCCCATACTTTAACATAGGCTTACAATAGTTGTAGTGCTAAGATCGCTTTGTGCAAGTGGGTCCAGCACCCAACAGTTTCTGTTCTACTCAATATAAGCTGGACACAATCACAACAAAACTGTCAAATTTATTTCGGAAACAATTAACAGATTGACACCACACAAACCATGCACCACCTATTGACAGGCCATGTTTCTGGAGAGGATGTCCAGACAACACAAACCTGATGCAACCAACACAAACCTGTTGCAACCAACACACATGTAGTGCAACCAACATGCACCTTGTGGAACCAACACGTACCTGGTGGAACCAACACGTACCTGAAGCAACCAACACGTACCTGGTGCAACCAACACAAACCTGGTGCAACCAACAAGTACCTAGTGCAACCAACACGAACCCAGTAGATACCTCACTTACACTACCCTTGATACATAGTAGAAAGCTCACTTACACTACCCTTGATATATAGTAGATACCTCACTTACACTACCCTTGATATATAGTAGATACCTCACTTACACTACACTTGATGTGTAGTAGATACCTCACTTACACTACCCTTGATATATAGTAGATACCCCACCTACACTACCCTTGATATATAGTAGAACCCTCACTTACACTACTCTTGATATATAATAGAAACCTCACTTACACCACTCTTGATATATAGTAGAAACCTCACTTACACTACTCTTGATATATAGTAGAAACCTCACTTACACTACCCTTGATACATAGTAGAAAGCTCACTTACACTACCATTGATATATAGTAGATACCTCATTACCCTTGATATATAGTAGGTACCTCACCCCGCTTGATATATAGTAGATATCCAACAATTATTGATATATAGTAGATACCTCACTACTCTCGATATATAGTAGATACCCACTACCCTTGATATATAGTAGATACCCCACTACTATTGATATATAGTAGATACCTCACTTACACTACCCTTGATACAGAGTAGAAACCTCACTTACACTACCATTGATATATAGTAGATACCTCATTACTCTTGATATATAGTAGGTACCTCACCCCGCTTGGTATATAGTAGATATCCAACAATTATTGATATATAGTAGATACCTCACTACTCTCGATATATAGTAGATACCCACTACCCTTGATATATAGTAGATACCCCACTACTATTGATATAGAGTAGATACCTCACTTACACTACCCTTGATACAGAGTAGAAACCTCACTTACACTACCCTTGATATATAGTAGATACCTCACTTACACTACCCTTGATATATAGTAGATACCCCACCTACACTACCCTTGATATATAGTAGAAACCTCACTTACACTACACTTGATACAGAGTAGAAACCTCACTTACACTACCCTTGATATATAGTAGATACCTCACTTACACTACCCTTGATATATAGTAGATACCCCACCTACACTACCCTTGATATATAGTAGAACCCTCACTTACACTACTCTTGATATATAGTAGAAACCTCACTTACACCACTCTTGATATATAGTAGAAACCTCACTTACACTACTCTTGATATATAGTAGAAACCTCACTTACACTACCCTTGATACATAGTAGAAAGCTCACTTACACTACCATTGATATATAGTAGATACCTCATTACCCTTGATATATAGTAGGTACCTCACCCCGCTTGATATATAGTAGATATCCAACAATTATTGATATATAGTAGATACCTCACTACTCTCGATATATAGTAGATACCCACTACCCTTGATATATAGTAGATACCCCACTACTATTGATATATAGTAGATACCTCACTTACACTACCCTTGATACAGAGTAGAAACCTCACTTACACTACCATTGATATATAGTAGATACCTCATTACTCTTGATATATAGTAGGTACCTCACCCCGCTTGGTATACAGTAGATATCCAACAATTATTGATATATAGTAGATACCTCACTACTCTCGATATATAGTAGATACCCACTACCCTTGATATATAGTAGATACCCCACTACTATTGATATAGAGTAGATACCTCACTTACACTACACTTGATACAGAGTAGAAACCTCACTTACACTACCCTTGATATATAGTAGATACCTCACTTACACTACCCTTGATATATAGTAGATACCCCACCTACACTACCCTTGATATATAGTAGAACCCTCACTTACACTACTCTTGATATATAGTAGAAACCTCACTTACACTACCATTGATACATAGTAGAAACCTCACTTACACTATCATTGATATATAGTAGATACCTCATTACCCTTGATATATAGTAGGTACCTCACCCCGATTGATATATATAGTAGATATCCAACAATTATTGATATATAGTAGATACCTCACTACTCTCGATATATAGTAGATACCCACTACCCTTGATATATAGTAGATACCCCACTTACACTTCCCTTGATATATAGTAGATACCTCACTTACACTACCCTTGATATATAGTAGATACCTCACTTACACTACCCTTGATATATAGTAGATACCCCACTTACACTACCCTTGATATATAGTAGATACCTCACTTACACTACCCTTGATATGTAGTAGATACCTCACTTACACTACCCTTGATATATAGTAGATACCTCACTTACACTACCCTTGATATGTAGTAGATACCTCACTTACACGACCCTTGATATATAGTAGATACCTCACTTACACTACCCTTGATATGTAGTAGATACCTCACTTACACTACCCTTGATATGTAGTAGATACCTCACTTACACGACCCTTGATATATAGTAGATACCTCACTTACACGACCCTTGATATATAGTAGATACCTCACTTAGACTACTCTTGATATATAGTAGATACCTCACTTACACTACCCTTGATATGTAGTAGATACCTCACTTACACGACCCTTGATATATAGTAGATACCTCACTTACACTACCCTTGATATGTAGTAGATACCTCACTTACACTACCCTTGATACATAGTAGATACCTCACTTACACTACCCTTGATATATAGTAGATACCCCACTTACACTACCCTTGATATGTAGTAGATACCCCACTTACACTACCCTTGATATATAGTAGAACCCTCACTTACACTACCCTTGATATATAGTAGATACCCCACCTACACTACCCTTGATATATAGTAGATACCTCACTTACACTACCCTTGATATGTAGTAGATACCTCACTTACACTACCCTTGATACATAGTAGATACCTCACTTACACTACCCTTGATATATAGTAGATACCCCACTTACACTACCCTTGATATGTAGTAGATACCTCACTTACACTACCCTTGATATATAGTAGAACCCTCACTTACACTACCCTTGATATGTAGTAGATACCTCACTTACACTACCCTTGATATATAGTAGATACCTAACTTACACTACTCTTGATATATAGTAGATACCTCACTTAGACTACTCTTGATATATAGTAGATACCTCACTTACACTACCCTTGATATATAGTAGATACCTCACTTACACTACCCTTGATATATAGTAGATACCTAACAGATAATAAAGCAGCATGCAGGTAATGAACTGACAGCTAACTAACTGTGGTACTCACCGACGATGAGCAGCACGCAGGTAATGAACTAACAGCTAACTAACTGTGGTACTCACCGACGATGAGCAGCACGCAGGTAATGAACTAACAGCTAACTAACTGTGGTACTCACCGATGATGAGCAGCACGCAGGTAATGAACTAACAGCTAACTAACTGTGGTACTCACCGACGATGAGCAGCACGCAGGTAATGAACTAACAGCTAACTAACTGTGGTACTCACCGACGATGAGCAGCATGCAGGTAATGAACTAACAGCTAACTAACTGTGGTACTCACCGATGATGAGCAGCACGCAGGTAATGAACTAACAGCTAACTAACTGTGGTACTCACTGACGATGAGCAGCACGCAGGTAATGAACTAACAGCTAACTAACTGTGGTACTCACCGACGATGAGCAGCACGCAGGTAATGAACTAACAGCTAACTAACTGTGGTACTCACCGACGATGAGCAGCACGCAGGTAATGAACTAACAGCTAACTAACTGTGGTACTCACCGATGATGAGCAGCACGCAGGTAATGAACTAACAGCTAACTAACTGTGGTACTCACTGACGATGAGCAGCACGCAGGTAATTAACTAACAGCTATCTTACTGTGGTACTCACCGACGATGAGCAGCACTCAGGTAATGAACTAACAGCTAACTAACTGTGGTACTCACCGATGATGAGCAGCACGCAGGTAATGAACTAACAGCTAACTAACTGTGGTACTCACTGACGATGAGCAGCACGCAGTCAATGAACTAACAGCTAACTAACTGTGGTACTCACCGACGATGAGCAGCATGCAGGTAATGAACTAACAGCTAACTAACTGTGGTACTCACGGACGATGAGCAGCACACAGGTAATGAACTAACAGCTAACTAACTGTGGTACTCACCGACGATGAGCAGCACGCAGGTAATGAACTAACAGCTAACTAACTGTGGTACTCACCGATGATGAGCAGCACACAGGTAATGAACTAACAGCTAACTAACGGTGGTACTCACCGATGATGAGCAGCACACAGGTAATGAACTAACAGCTAACTAACTGTGGTACTCACCGATGATGAGCAGCATGCAGGTAATGAACTAACAGCTAACTAACTGTGGTACTCACCGACGATGAGCAGCACTCAGGTAATGAACTAACAGCTAACTAACTGTGGTACTCACAGACGATGAGCAGCACGCAGGTAATGAACTAACAGCTAACTAACTGTGGTACTCACCGATGATGAGCAGCACGCAGGTAATGAACTAACAGCTAACTAATTGTGGTACTCACCGACGATGAGCAGCACAAAGAAGATGGTGAGACTGCTGCTGTGTTCCTCCTCCGCAGCTCCTTTCTGTGGCAGCTCCGCCTCCGCCTCCGTAGTCGTCGTTGTAGTTGTAGTTGTCGTTGTGAGATTAGATGCAGTTCCATTGGTGCCGCTGCCAAGTGACACAAAAGAACATTAGGAGTCCATGACGATGGAGGGTGAGATCCAAGGGGCAGAACTCACCATACAGCAGGGAAAGACATGCTGGAGGAGTGATCTCAAGGGGTGCCTAAACCTTCCCTAATGAAGAGGTGCTTGACTGGGGATCCCTTGGTGTGTGGTTAACTAACAAGTAACATGACTAACTGCAGGGATGTGAGCAGGTTTTCCCGAAAAAAGAGGAAAAGTCTAGGGGGGGTCTGGGGGCATGCCCCCCCAGAAATTTTTAAAACATTTGATTGCATTTTACAGTTTTAAGCAATTTCGTGCAGTTTGGACAACATTCACACCAAGAAATGTAATAAGTCAATGGCCAAAGTCAATAAGTCAAATAAACAAGATGGCAGATGCAGTAAAATTTCGAAGTTAAATCAGTACTTTCATAAAATTGGGCATAGCTTTCGCGCACCTGGCTATCCGCCAGGTTTGGGAGCAATACTGCCATAAACTTCAACCCCCATCCCCCAGACACAAGGACAACTGTCACAAGCGTGCAATGTCTGACCCTTTCCCCATGTTGAAGCATATTGAAAAAAACTTACCTTGTACTTACCTTTTGATGAAAAAAACAAAACTCCATTGCAAACATAAGACATTAATACAACATATATCCCCATGACATGGGGTTTTGGACGCTGAAGAAACATTCATAGTTTTCTCGCTTTTCACATGAACAACTGTAAAACATCTCATTCACTTACAGGATTAAAAGACAACTTTATCTTAAAAACAAGCCATCAGCTGACTCTGAGTATTTACAATTTCTGTGTGACGCCACACCCCACGTTATCTTGCAAGTATTCGTGACAGAAAACGTATGATGTCCGAAAACCTATGCTGGTGAAAGCTCTGATCGAAAACAGCACAATCCGCGTCAATTGTCCGGTTTTCGATCATATTTTTCGGAGTGGTTTTTTTTAAAAATTTATTAATTTTTTACGCGGAAGATGTTTTTTTCCCGAGGACTACTGTTTTAAAAAACGCGATTTTCCGCGTTTCCGCGGAGATTTCACATCCCTGTAACTGAGAGAATCCAAGTTACAAATATGATCAGTGGCTATATGCTGGTACTCAGTGGTAGATAACTAACCAACATTTCCATAAGGAAATAAATACCTGAAATGATATAAATCATTTCTTGAGACAGCAGATTGAAACTTTCCCCTGTGTACAGGCATGGACATTCTGCAGTACAAAACAACGTGACCAGGATGATGGCTGTCTGTGTATAATCGAGACTGGACCAAACAGTCCAGCTATTGGCATAATGAGCATCAAACCATGCAATTGGAATTAGATGACATACAATCAACCAAATTACAAAGGATCAGTTAGTTATTGTCAGGTCCATTTTCTTCTAAATATTCTCAAAAGTGCATGACCATTTTCACTAAATTTTGGTCATTTTTGGAAGAGGCTGCCCACTGAGATACTGTGCCACAGTTTAACATGGATACTCCACTCAGACACAGTATACTGACTCTGAGTCATCCAGTCCTCGTTTTATCCCTTTAATGCTTAGCATCAGTCAGGGTAACAACAAGTACACTGGTATGACGCCGCCAGGGATCGAACGACCGACCTTTCGCTAACAAGACCAACGTTCTATCCACTAGCCCACGGAGTCCCTTGCCATGGTAAAGGTCAGTCAAGTCCCATTAATCCGACATTGTTGGTTGCAGATGATCATGTCGGATTAACAAGTTTGTCGGATAAACGAAATTAGGTAGTATCAACATGATCAATGTCCGTGATCGAAAATAGGACAACTACACAATAGATAACACGTTGTAATAAAAAAAGAGAGGAAAAAGGCAATATTCATATTGTTATATTACATTGTTAATGGAATATGTTTTCTAATCATGCAACCCCTAAAGTTTAACACAATGTATGACTGATTCAAAATACTTTTTAAAGCATAGTCTGGATTGGAAGTTGCCAATTTAAAACTAGTGCCGCAATGCTTAAGAAAGCTGCTTTCTTATACGCTAATGTTGACTTCCTGTTAGTAATTTCATTGGTTGGTCAAAGTTCGCGAAAGGTCCTTCTAACGTGATCTGTAATGGGATGCCCTCAGCGGTAGCTAGGACTTGTATCCGATTTTATAAGATTGAGGTAATCTAGGCATGTGATTAATCCTGTTTTGTTTATTTAAAGCAGTAATTGTTTATTGTTAAGCAAGTTTATAGCTGCAGCAGTTAAAACATGCAGCTACTCATCGACTCGTCTCGCATCAAAACACGGGGCTGTGTACTCGCAGGCAGATGACCACGGAGTACGCTGATCACTGTTTCGGATTAATGAGTGATTTCGGTATTTCGTGGCAAATTAGGTGTGCCGGAGTTGGAGTGCGAGACTGTCGGATTAACGGTTTAGATAGCACTGATTTAATCGGTTCCCATCATTGGTGTCAGATAAAGCCGATTGTCGGTTTAACAAGTGTCGGATTAACGAGACTTAACTGTATATAGCCTAGGTATCTTCATACCTATAATACGAAACACATTTACGACTGAGAGTCGTTGCAGTTGACACTGGTAATCCAGATGGGTTTGCCACGATTGCAGCATCAGGTGTCGGCATACATGTAAACAAGGGAATGAATAAACAAGTAATTTAACCTGGGATCGTCACTTACTTTGAAGTAGTGTTCACATCAGCCACTGTAACTAGTGGGGTGGTGTAGGGTGCGGGCGGTGGTGGGGTGATGTCTCTTCTCACCCTACGGGATTCTTCATCTCGCTGTTTTGTTTCTCTGTCATCTTGGGGGCTGATGGTATCGACGAGATACATCACCAGCACGGCCACGAACGCCGCTAAAAATGGTTTATACTGCATCACAACTGTAGATATACATAAACTTTCCTAAGAGATACACTAATAGGTACTTATCCACAAGTTGCCATTGCCAAATTTACATCGTATTCCACTTGCACAAACTCACTGTCGCGTGCCGACACGAAGCGGAAGTTGTCAATTTCTTTTGAGCCTCTGTTTCATTCAAAGATGTCTGCGCCCATTGCAAAATAGCTGAAGTATATCTAATCAGTGATTTGGCCTGTTCCAAGGTCGTTTGAGGGGAAAGACTCAGATGATAAGCCGGAACATCGAGTTGTGTGGGGGAAGCCTGTAGCGGAAACACTGATAGACAGGTAAATACAATCTAGGGCGAGTCGAACCGTAAATCTAGACTGGTGTAATCAGCTGATTGACAACCGAATTTACATTATCATGGAAAATGTCATCGACCGGCTCTGGTTCACGATTCACCAACCTCGCGTTTCAATTCGATCCTTAGCCAGGGTTAGTTGCGTTACTGTTAGGGCAGCACAACACTTAGACAGACATTTAGTCCCAGAAGTAAAGTTATCTTATATTTAAAATATATAGAATCTACAAAGAAAGAAAAAAAATCCATATGAAGCCCAGAACAATCCTTATCTTCAAGGACTAACCAAGTCTGCAAAGCTCTAATTTGTTGGAATTTCTAATATCTTGCCAATGTCAATTCTGTTTACAAACCACTGGTACTCAACCTGCTTAAACATGACCCCTCCCTCCTACGTTGTCCCCCTCCTTGTCCCCTATGGTGGCGCCACTGCCATAACCAAGACTGTAGACAACTTTTAGTCTCAGGAAGAAAGTTATCTTATTTAAACATTTATATCTTAGGGAATAAAAATCCAAATGGATCCTAGAACACCATCCTGGAGCTGAGGCAATCTAGACAAATTAACACTATCCTTAGCCCCACATACACTCACACCAGCGATAGAAACTTACAGTTTTAGTCCAATAGTCCTTATCATGATAATTTATAGCAAAACCCTTAATGTGCAAGTGTCTTGAAAATAGTAATAGATTTTTCTTACATCTTTATGTAACCAGTATGATGTACCATACGATAACCAAGAAAATAAGTACGAAAATGTAAACTTGGCACTTAATTAAAAGTATGTATTTTGAGGTCTGTATTTGTAACAACCCAAACAAATCTTAAAAGCCCAAATGAGGAGACATGGCTTAGTTAGTCCGCCGGCTCAGCCTGAAGCTCATTGTGTATTACCACCTGTATAGTTTAATCCCAAAAGATGACAGTGTACAAATGGTCATAGCTAAATGTAGAACGTAACGAGTGCTAGAGTGCCAACAGAGGGGTAGGCTTCTTGTGCGATCAAGCGTGTAATTCTGTGGGTAGCTTGTGCGATCAAGCGTGTAATTTTGGAGGTAATTTCCACCAACAAGACCATATATGGAACCTCTGTATATAAAGCCTCAGCTTTTTTGTTTTGGTTTCAGCCTTTGAAATTGACAGGTCAAAAGTGTTTGGAATATCATATTTGCATTAACATGATTATACAATGTTACAATCTATCCTAATTTTTAAAGTTCTATATACCCAGTTTACCGGGGGTGTTAAGTGGGGTGGGGCACTGGGGGTGTTAAGTGGGGTGGGGCACCGGGGGTGTTAAGTGGGGTGGGGCACCGGGGGTGTTAAGTGGGGTGGGGCACCTGGGGTTTTAAGTGGGGTGGGGCACCGGGGGTGTTAAGTGGGGTGGGGCACCGGGGGTGTTAAGTGGGGTGGGGCACTAGGGGTGTTATGTGGGGTGGGGCACCGGGGGTGTAAATCGTTTGAATGAAGCAACATTTCAGCTCCATCCCAACTAAGGTCACTTACACAAGTCATTGCCATGTGGATTGTCAAACCAAGATAGGATTACATTGATAACTTATTCAAATTTATTTAAAGAATCTACAAATTGGGAAAAGTATATTACAATTTACCTACATAAAAATACAATAATATTCATGACATGTAGGCTGTTTATAATGTGCAATGCAAGTTTCTCTGTGTCAGGTTGCCAGCATTAGGAGCACTGTGTAGTATGTTATACAATGAACACTATTGATGTAAGGGAGGTAACTCTAAACCCGGAAGTATTTCTATAAATAGAACGCAATGTTAACGTAGTATGGAATGGTTGTGTGAGTGTTGTGATGATGTCATGATAGTAATACCGTTGTGTTGTCAGTTATGGTTTTGATCTGAACATGTAAACATCGTTTGAGTTTACTTGCGACTTGAGTCTTATTTCATTGGTGGCAGCGGTGAACTAACGGATATTTTCACTTGGAAATGGCTATGCCCGGAGTATCGCAGTGGGACGAGTGTGATTCTGGTGATATTGATAGTCATTTTAGACAGCTGGAAAGTTTGTTCATCGTGAAAGACATCATGGAAAACGAGAAGAAGGTTGCTTGCTTTCATTTGTCATTGAAAGGTGTGGCGAAGCAGTGTTTCACCACATTATCGGCGGATCAACTGTGTCAACGTATACATCGGTAAAATTAGCTTTCGTGGTGCGCTTCAGACCGGTGAGATCATCAGTGACTTGTCAACAAGAATTGTCAGATAGGAAGCAGAGGAAGGGAGAAACGGCTGGGAAACTCAAATATTCAATCATGGATCTAGTTACCAAGGCATTTCCGGATGTTACCGATGATGCATCACGGTCAGCGCTACAGATTGCTCATTACAGGAGAGCACTGACACCTGAGGTGAGACAGAAATTATCATGGCTAGTGTCAGATGATGTAACCTTTGATGAACTGGTTAGGAAAGCAGAACAAGTAGAGAGGGAAACTGCCTATATCAACATGATTCAATCAGATGGGAATAATGTTAGTGGGGGACAAAATGCTATTTTGTTGGAATTAGCTAAGAAGATCTCAGAACTGACAAGTTTGCTGTTTACCTTGAGGGAAAACAGTTTACAGTTATAACAGTTCCGGATGCACTGTCAAGGGCGCCTCAAGTGGACGCAATCGCCATACCATGTTTATTCGCAATGGAGGAACTGATTCACATGCTACAGACAGATGCAGATATCACAGTACTGCAACAGGGGTAACTGATCACAAGAGACCAAGCCATATCAAGCGAGATATGAAGAGCTTCATCAAGAGTGATGGTGATAAGCTTGAACTGTGCAACAATGTGCTTGTCCTTGGCGGGCCCACTTCCATCAACACAATAGGGTAATCGATACTTGTTTGTGCTGTGTGATCCTTTCAGCAAATGGGTAGTGGAATTTGCAGTACCTGATCAGTCGGCTACAATTATATATAACGAAATTGTGTGCCACTATGGACTGCCAGAGGGACTACACTCTGACCAAGGTCGGAACTGTGAAGCTAAACTTCTCCAAGAGTTGTGCAGCAAGCTGGGCATTAAAAGAACAAGAACCTCTCCATACAACCCACAGTGCAATGGACAGGTTGAAAGAATGAATAGAACTCTAGCTGAAAGACTTGCTCTTCTAATAGAAGCACATGACCAAATGGATTGGGATGAGAAGTTCCCGTCAGCATTGTCAGCTATTCGCACGTCAACAAATAAGGTTACAGAAGAGACCCCATTCAAGATTGTGTTTGGCCAATCCCCTAGAGACAAAACAGACAGTGATGTCAGTGGACATCAGAAACCGGTGACTGATTCATCAGCTAAACTGAGTGAATTAGTGGATTTGCAGAAGACTGCGAGAGAGAAGATTTTGAAAGAGCAAGAGCAGGGGTGTGAAAAGAAGCAACATACCAAGTTTACTCCATTCAAAGAAGGCGATAAAGTGTGGCTATATCATCCTCAGCAAGTGCGCGGAAACTCATCTCAGAAAGATGGGAAGGGCCTTTCCGCGTTGATAGCCAAATCGGTGAAAATACTTACGGTATTCACACCTGGGAAGGAAATGGACGCTCACATGTCATCAATCACCGAAAGCTGAAAAGACATTTTGAGAGACCAGACCACTTGACTACAAGTTGTAGTGGTAGTGATAGTGCTAGAGACTGTGTTGTGAATGTGGACACTGAATGTCAGTCTTCAGATTCACCTGACATTGACAACTCGACAGGCAGCATCAACATTCCAGGAGGTGCAAGTGACACTGTGTTGGGACTTGATGATGTGTTCCAAGCAAGTGACAATTCAACAGACAATTGCCAGAGACATTCCAATCGTATTCGCCAGCCCCCAAAGTGGCAGAGTGACTATCATGTAAACATTGCCTGTATTTCAAGTGAAAATGCCTTTCTTGGCATGTTTGACAATATGTAAATGCAATTATATATAAATAGTGTTATATTTGTAATTAACACATTCACCTGTTTTATGCTTACCTGTAAATAGGACTTTATGATCATCGTTTTAATCAATGTCTAATTTCTTAGTATGTATGATTGTATCTGAGATGGAGGAATGATGTAAGGGAGGTAACTCTGAACCCGGAAGTATTTCTATAAATAGAAAGCAAAGTTAACTTAGTATGGAATGGTTGTGTGAGTGTTGTGATGATGTCATGATAGTAATACCGTTGTGTTGTCAGTTATGGTTTTGATCTGAACATGTAAACATCGTTTGAGTTTACTTGCGACTTGAGTCTTATTTCACTTTGTTATACAATGAACACTATGTTATACAATGAACACTATGTTATACAATGAACGCTGTGTTATACAATGAACGCTATGTTATACAATGAACACCATGTTATACAATGAACACTGTGTTATACAATGAACACCATGTTATACAATGAACACTGTGTTATACAATGAACGCTATGTTATACAATGAACACCATGTTATACAATGAACAATGTGTTATACAATGAACGCTATGTTATACAATGAACACCATGTTATACAATGAACACTGTGTTATACAATGAACGCTATGTTATACAATGAACACTGTTATACAATGAACACTATTATACAATGAACGCTATGTTATACAATGAACGCTATGTTATACAATGAACGCTATGTTATACAATGAACACTGTGTTATACAATGAACGCTATGCTATACAATGAACGCTATGTTATACAATGAACACTGTGTTATACAATGAACGCTATGTTATACAATGAACGCTATGTTATACAATGAACACTGTGTTATACAATGAACACTGTGTTATACTATGAACGCTATGTTATACAATGAACACTGTTATACAATGAACGCTATGTTATACAATGAACACTGTGTTATACAATGAACGCTATGTTATACAGCCCCTTCAGACAAGATGGTGTTGATATTCAAGAAGAGCCCGATGCTCAACACAATGACCACCTATGCCATATTGTGGACCATTGCCGATGTCTCAGAACAGAAATTTGTCTCAAAGAAAAAGAAACTTGATGTGTTGAAAACTGCCCGGATGACTGTTGTGGGGTCTATGGTGATTGCTCCCCTTGTTGTTGCCTGGATCCGATTTGCAGAACGTGTCTTCCCAGGAACACACTTCAGGGCTGTGATCAAGAAAGTTGTCAGTGAACAGATTATGTTTGCTCCTGTCGGAAATTTGAGTTTTTACACAGGTAAGCAGATATCCTCATTTGTGTGTGTTCACCTACAGTCTACAGGTAATCTTGTTCTGTAAATCAGATATGCCTCAGTGCTCACCTTTGGGCCCTCATGTATGTTGTGCGGTTTCCCTCTATAGTTGATAGGTCGGTCCTCAGGTGTGTTGTGCGGTTTCCCTCTTTAGTTGATAGGTCGGCCCTCAAATGTGTTGTGCTGTTTCCCTCTACAGTTGATAGGTTGGTCCTCAAGTGTGTTGTGCTGTTTCCTCCTAAAGTTGATAGGTCGGCCCTCAAATGTGTTGTGCTGTTTCCCTCTACAGTTGATAGGTCGGTCCTCAAGTGTGTTGTGCTGTTTCCTGCTAAAGTTGATAGGTTAGTCATCAGGTGTGTTGTGCTGTTTCCTGCTATGGTTGATAGGTTGGTCCTCAGGTGTGTTGTGCTGTTTCCTGCTATGGTTGATAGGTTGGTCCTCAAATGTGTTGTGCTACTTCCTGCTAAAGTTGATAGGTTGGTCCTCAGGTATGTTGTGCTGTTTCCTGCTATAGTTGATAGGTTGGTCCTCAAATGTGTTGTGCTGTTTCCTGCTAAAGTTCATAGGTTGGTCCTCAAATGTGTTGTGCTGTTTCCTGCTATAGTTGATAGGTCGGTCCTCAGGTGTGTTGTGCTGTTTCCTGCTATAGTTGATAGGTCGGTCCTCAAATGTGTTGTGCTGTTTCCTGCTATAGTTGATAGGTTGGTCCTCAAATGTGTTGTGCTGTTTCCTGCTAAAGTTGATAGGTTGGTCCTCAGGTGTGTTGTGCTGTTTCCTTCTATAGTTGATTGGTTGGTCCTCAAACGTGTTGTGCTGTTTCCCTCTATAGTTGATAGGTCGGTCCTCAAATGTGTTGTGCTGTTTCCCTTTTAGTTGATAGGTAGGTCCTCAAACGTGTTGTGCTGTTTCCCTCTATAGTTGATATGTTGGTCCTCAAATGTGTTGTGCTGTTTCCCTCTATAGTTAATAGATCGGTCCTCAAATGTGTTGTGCTGTTTCCCTCTATAGTTTATAGGCTGGTCCTCTAATGTGTTGTGCTGTTCGCCCCTATAGTTGATATGTTGGTCCTCAAATGTGTTGTGCTGTTTCCCTCTATAGTTGATAGGTCGGTCCTCAAATGTGTTGTGCTGTTTCCTGCTATAGTTGATAGGTTGGTCCTCAAATGTGTTGTGCTGTTTCCTGCTATAGTTGATAGGTTGGTCCTCAAATGTGTTGTGCTGTTTCCTGCTAAAGTTGATAGGTTGGTCCTCAGGTGTGTTGTGCTGTTTCCTTCTATAGTTGATTGGTTGGTCCTCCAATGTGTTGTGCTGTTTCCCTCTATAGTTGATAGGTCGGTCCTCAATTGTGTTGTGCTGTTTCCCTTTTAGTTGATAGGTAGGTCCTCAAACGTGTTGTGCTGTTTCCCTCTATAGTTGATATGTTGGTCCTCAAATGTGTTGTGCTGTTTCCCTCTATAGTTGATAGATCTGTCCTCAAGTGTGTTGTGCTGTTTCCCTCTATAGTTTATAGGCTGGTCCTCTAATGTGTTGTGCTGTTCGCCCCTATAGTTGATATGTTGGTCCTCAAATGTGTTGTGCTGTTTCCCTCTATAGTTGATAGGTCAGTCCTCAAGTGTGTTGTGCTGTTTGCCGCTATAGTTGATAGGTAGGTCATCAAACGTGTTGTGCTGTTTCCCTCTATAGTTGATAGGTCGGTCCTCAAACGTGTTGTGCTGTTTCCCTTTTAGTTGATAGGTATGTCCTCAAACGTGTTGTGCTGTTTGCCCCTATAGTTGATAGGTCGGTCCTCAAATGTCTTGTGCTGTTTCCCGCTATAGTTCAAAGGTCGGTCCTCAAGTGTGTTGTGCTGTTTGCCCCTATAGTTGATAGGCTGGTCCTCAAATGTCTTGTGCTGTTTCCCGCTATAGTTCAAAGGTCGGTCCTCAAGTGTGTTGTGCTGTTTGCCCCTATAGTTGATAGGCTGGTCCTCAAATGTCTTGTGCTGTTTCCCGCTATAGTTCAAAGGTCGGTCCTCAAGTGTGTTGTGCTGTTTGCCCCTATAGTTTATAGGCTGGTCCTCAAATGTGTTGTGCTGTTTCCCGCTATAGTTCAATAGTCGGTCCTCAAGTGTGTTTTGCTGTTTGCCCCTATAGTTGATAGGTTGGTCCTCAGATGTGTTATGCTGTTCCTGTTAAAGTTAATAGGTTGGTCCTGGAGTGTGTTGTGCTGTTTCCAGCTATAGTTTATAGGTCGGTCCTCAAATGTGTTGTGCTGTTTCCCTCTATAGTTGATAGGCTGGTCCTAAAATGTGTTGTGCTGTTTCCCGCTATAGTTCAATAGTCGGTCCTCAAGTGTGTTTTGCTGTTTGCCCCTATAGTTGATAGGTTGGTCCTCAGATGTGTTGTGCTGTTCCTGTTAAAGTTGATAGGTTGGTCCTGGAGTGTGTTGTGCTGTTTCCAGCTATAGTTTATAGGTCGGTCCTCAAATGTGTTGTGCTGTTTCCCTCTATTGTTGATAGGTTGGTCCTCAAATGTGTTGTACTGTTTCCTGCTATAGTTGATAGGTTGGTCCTCAAATGTGTTGTGCTGTTTCCTGCTAAAGTTGATAGGTTGGTCCTCAGGTATGTTGTGCTGTTTCCTGCTATGGTTGATAGGTTGGTCCTCAGGTATGTTGTGCTGTTTCCTGCTATAGTTGATAGGTTGGTCCTCAAATGTGTTGTGCTGTTTCCCTCTATAGTTGATAGGTCAGTCCTCAAGTGTGTTGTGCTGTTTGCCGCTATAGTTGATAGGTAGGTCCTCAAACGTGTTGTGCTGTTTCCCTCTATAGTTGATAGGTCGGTCCTCAAACGTGTTGTGCTGTTTCCCTTTTAGTTGATAGGTAGGTCCTCAAACGTGTTGTGCTGTTTGCCCCTATTGTTGATAGGTTGGTCCTCAGATGTGTTGTGCTGTTTCCCGCTATAGTTCAAGGTCGGTCCTCAAGTGTGTTGTGCTGTTTGCCCCTATAGTTGATAGGCTGGTCCTCAAATGTGTTGTGCTGTTTCCTGCTATAGTTCAAGGTCGGTCCTCAAGTGTGTTGTGCTGTTTGCCCCTATAGTTGATAGGTCGGTCCTCAAGTGTGTTGTGCTGTTTCCCGCTATAGTTCAATAGTCGGTCCTCAAGTGTGTTTTGCTGTTTGCCCCTATAGTTGATAGGTTGGTCCTCAGATGTGTTATGCTGTTCCTGTTAAAGTTAATAGGTTGGTCCTGGAGTGTGTTGTGCTGTTTCCAGCTATAGTTTATAGGTCGGTCCTCAAATGTGTTGTGCTGTTTCCCTCTATAGTTGATAGGTTGGTCCTCAAATGTGTTGTACTGTTTCCTGCTATAGTTGATAGGTTGGTCCTCAAATGTGTTGTGCTGTTTCCTGCTAAAGTTGATAGGTTGGTCGTCAAGTGTGTTGTGCTGTTTCCTGCTAAAGTTGATAGGTTGGTCCTCAGGTATGTTGTGCTGTTTCCTGCTATAGTTGATAGGTTGGTCCTCAGGTGTGTTGTGCTGTTTCCTGCTATAGTTGATAGGTTGGTCCTCAAATGTGTTGTGCTGTTTCCTGCTAAAGTTGATAGGTTGGTCCTCAAATGTGTTGTGCTGTTTCCTGCTATAGTTGATAGGTTGGTCCTCAAATGTGTTGTGCTGTTTCCTGCTATAGTTGATAGGTTGGTCCTCAAATGTGTTGTGCTGTTTCCTGCTAAAGTTGATAGGTTGGTCCTCAAATGTGTTGTGCTGTTTCCTGCTATAGTTGATAGGTTGGTCCTCAAATATGTTGTGCTAATTTCCTGCTATAGTTGATAGGTCGGTTCGCAAATGTGTTGTGCTGTTTCCTGCTAAAGTTGATAGGTCCGTCCTCAAGTGTGTTGTGCTGTTTCCTGCTAAAGTTGATAGGTTGGTCCTCAGGTGTGTTGTACTGTTTCCTGCTATAGTTTATAGATCAGTCCTCAGGTGTGTTGTGCTAGTACCAAGGAGAATGTTGTTAGACATGAGTCACTTTTAGCTTTCCTCTCCCATCATGTCAATGCAACTTTAATACTGTTCCACCAACTCACTCATTCACTCTCACTATACTACTAGTCTCACTCACTCACTCTTACTATATACTTTCAGCTACTAGTCTCACTCACTCACTCACTCACTCTCACTATGCATTTTCAGCTACTAGTCTCACTCACTCTCACTATATATTTTCAGCTACTCGTCTCACTCACTCACTCTCACTATACATTTTCAGCTACTAGTCTCACTCACTCACTCACTCAGTCACTCTCATTATACATTTTCAGCTACTAGTCTCACTCACTCACTCACTCAGTCACTCTCACTATACATTTTCCGCTACTAGTCTCACTCACTCACTCACTCACTCTCACTATACATTTTCAGCTACTAGTCTCACTCACTCACTCACTCTCACTATATATTTTCAGCTAATAGTCTCACTCACTCACTCATTCTCACTATACATTTTCAGCTACTAGTCTCACTCACTCACTCACTCACTCTCACTATACATTTTCAGCTACTAGTCTCACTCACTCACTCACTCTCACTATATATTTTCAGCTAATAGTCTCACTCACTCACTCATTCTCACTATATATTTTCAGCTACTAGTCTCACTCAATCACTCACTATACATTTTCAGCTATTAGTCTCACTCACTCACTCACTGTCACTATATATTTTCAGCTACTAGTCTCACTCAATCACTCTCACTATATATTTTCAGCTACTAGTCTCACTCACTCACTCACTCTCACTATATATTTTCAGCTACTAGTCTCACTCAATCACTCTCACTATATATTTTCAGCTACTAGTCTCACTCACTCACTCTCACTATACATTTTCAATTTTTAGTCTCACTCACTCACTCACTCACTCACTCACTCACTCACTCACTCACTCTCACTATATATTTTCAGCTACTAGTCTCACTCAATCACTCCTACTATATATTTTCAGCTACTAGTCTCACTCACTC